ATGCATACACTACCATACCATACCATATCATACCATAACATAACATAATATAACATACACACATTACATACATACATTACATACAGTACATACAGTACATACAGTACATACATTACATACATTACATACATTACATACATTACATACGTTACATACATACATACATACACACATACATTACATACATACATATAGGCATACATCACATGCAATAGATGCATACATACAATAGATACAGAGATACATAGATGCATACATACATACATACATACATACATTATATTACATACATACATACATACATACATAACTCACAGTACATACATTCATAACATACATACATACCATACCATACCATACCATATCATAACATAACATAACATACACACATTACATACATACATTACATACATTCCATACATTAGTCTTTCCATACGTTACATACATTACATACATTACACACATTATATACATTACATACATACATACATACATACATACATACATTCATTACATACATTCATTACATACATACATACATGCATACATACATACATACATACATACATACATTACATACATGCATACATACATACATACATACTTACATACATACATACAGCAATTACATACATAAGTTACATTTCATTACAGTACTCTACATTACATTACACTACATTACATTACACTGCATTACATTACATTACATTACATACACACGTACATACATACATTACATTACATAACATTACATTACATGACATTAGATTGCATTACATTCATTGCATACATTACATACATTATATACATACATTTTCAACATACATGCATTCATACATTGCGTGCAAACATACATCGTGGTTCATTGGATTTAAATTGCCTTGCATTGCATAGACTCAATACATTGCATGGGTTGCATGCAGTACGTGCATATATTACATGCGTACATCATAATACAGTACAGTTCACAACATTGCATTGCATTGCATTACATACATTGCATTACATCACCTTACATCTCATTGCTAACACATTACATTACATTGCCTGGTATTGCATTCCACCACATTACAGTACATTCAGTTACGTACTTACACAACCTAACATACCACAAGTAACATAGCGTAAACATACCAACTACATTGCATTGCATTGCACCGCACTGCGCTGCATTGCATTGCATTGCATCACAATCAGTACCTACATGCATAACAACAACAAACATCACATTAAATTTCTTTCATTCAATTCATACATCTACTGTCATTCATGTATGTTATGTATGTTAAACAAGGTACACATGTTATGCGTGGGTCTTGACCGGTTTGCTTGGGGCTTGTGTGTACTCCAAGACCTGCATTTGAATAGTGAGTCATCTTGCAGGTGCCTACGCGGGCAAATGTTACAGATGTTCAGTTCAAGCATACAAAACGAAGTGCACATTGGAGATCCAGCTGGAAAATCGCAACTCTTGAGCACAAGTGTAGGTTTTGTCACTTTGGCAGCTCCGGCTCTAAGATCACCTTTGTACTACCCGCAAAACCCCACATCTGTCCAAGGACCTAAATGCCTTAACAACTTATGCGAATGCCAACGCGAAGACTGCAGAACAAACAGAAGGAAGGATAAGGCAAACGAAGCCTTTTATGCTTGGCAAACAGCATTGACCGTGCTTAGTTCAACAAATGCGTACGCGAGCGGTCACACAACGGCCCGCGCGCAGAAGATCCCAGTACATGCAGTTCCCATTTTGTACAAACCCTTTGCTTTGATTCAACACTACTGCTCGGCTAGCCTGGCCAATGCCATATGTGTCCGCGCAATATCCAAGTGCTCTGAGAATTCTCTCGAATGGGTTACGGAACTCAGGGGTCTTGCTGTGGACCTTGAAAAATGATACCTCCTGCATTTCTACGGCCAAGCGACAGGGCCGGGATGGAAAGTCTACCATGCCGTCAGAGATGGCCTGATGGATTTCCTCTGCTGTCTTGCCCTCCACGGAAGTCAAGTTGTTGGGGTCCTGCGGCGACATGCAAGAATTCCTCTTGCCCTTTGCCTGGTGCTTTGGACTCTCTCTCTCTCTCTCTCTAGCTCTCTCTACTCTCTAGACAGGCAGGAGGGCAACGCAACGAGTCTCTCCATTCGCTGACGCTCTGAGGAACGGTCTTGGCCATAGGCTTTCAGCACATCGCCGACTTGAATTCCCATGTGCAGAGCCTCCTCATGGACTTCTGAGACTTTCATTGGCACCTCTGAAAAGCCAAGGCCCAGTGGTTTTGTTCTCCACTCCAGCAGTCTGACACCAGCTTCAGTCTCAAGTTGCAGCAGTAGGCCTCAAGGGCTGCATTCCATTGACGCCGTGCACCACGTGGCATGTGGAAACAAAAACAGTGAACATTGTAGAAGCACATCGCGCACTCTGCATACCTCACTTCGTGCTTCACAGTGGCGGGGTACAAGAGGGAGGCGCTCCACCCGGTTGCTCACTTCCTTCCAAATCTCCTCAAACAATTTGCCTTTCAAAATGTCAGTGTTTGAAGGACCAGGCGCCTCAGAGCGGGCCGGGAAAGGCGGGGCAAATCGTAACAGAGTTGTCCGTGAGTCATGCTGGTTGTCGCCACACACAGAACGCACCATAAACACACGACCAGCAAAATGCCCGCCGACGATCAATGTGCCAATCTCCACTTGCAAACACAAGCGTAAATCTGCCGACCCCTCGCCAAAGAGGGGAGGCGCATGGGAAGGGCGGCTGGCACATGAGCATCACCGAAGATTCATCATCATCATCAGTATCATGATCGTGATCATCATGATGGTGATCATCAAGCTAGGTTGATCCTGCCAATAGCTTGTCTCGTCGTCCTTCTCTTTTTGATATGCGTTTCAAGTTCTGGAGCGCTGGTGATGCTGGGGGGGGTAGTGATGATTATCATCATGACTGATGGTGACATTGTGATGATGATGACAGCCCTGCATCTCAAGTCGGGTCTAGTGGGACACTTGAAACGTATATCAAAGTAAAAATAGGACGACGACGATGATGATGATGAACCATCACTGGCTTCCCCGACATCACGAGCAGGGACGATGATAATCATCACTGCGCATCCCCATGCGTAGTCACCAAGCATCTCCAGCGCTGTTTAACGGGACACTTGAAACATACCATCCAATGCTGGGGATGAGTTGTTCTGATTGTCATCATCCCTGTTGGTGATTTGGGATGCGCAGTGATTCATCATCAGCATCATGGTGCTCATCATCATCATCATCATAATCATCACATGGCGCTCATCTTTTTGATATGCTGGGGACGCATAGTGATGATGAGTAGTTACATCCCTGCTGGATGACTGTCATGATGATAATCATCACGATGCATCCCCAGCATCACCAGCTGTTATGACGATAATCATGACTACGCATCCCCAAAATCACCAACAGGGCTGCTGACAATCATGACATGATGATGACAAGGATCATGATGATGCTGATGATGATGACTCATCATTACGTATCCCCACCATCATCACAGATGTTGGCCATGGACAGTTTTATTTCATCATCATCTTTCATCATCCTCATCAATTTTCATCAATCATCATACAAAGCGCCTGGGACGCTGGTGCCATAGTTACGATTGTTCTTAACAACATTGTCATCATCGTGATGATCATCAACATTGCCATCATTTATCATCCTCCTCATCACCATCCTGCATCATCATCCACCATCATCCAAGGTCCTGCCTGCTTGGACGAATTTGTCATTAACGACAATCTTATCCATGCAGGATTTTGTCCATCATCATCATCACCATTTCTCGTCCACCATCATCATCATCATCATCATCATCATCATCAGGTCTGGCGGGTCCGCAGTGCTGCAGACTAGGCAGCTTCGAAGAGACGGTGTTCACATGGAATCCTTCTCCACTTCAGCCATGCGCGGTGGGGCGAAGGATTGGTGGATTTGTTCAGGTGATTTTTGGCCATCTCCCCGCGGATTCAAAAACAAGTGATTTTTCGCCAGCGGTGGACAACATCCCCAGCAACACCTGCAACATGTGCATCCAATGGGATGGCAAGTGTTGGTACGGATGATGCAAGGGGATGCTGGGGATGTTGTCCACAATTCTAGGGGTTGATTCCAAAAGCCAGCCATTTCCCCGAGGCTTTTGATGGTTTTCTAGAAAGAAGGATCCCTGGAAAGAATGGGGAAGCTACCCCTAGAACAATGGATCGAACATGGATGGACAATGATTCACGCGTGGAAAAAACAATGATGGGAAAACTGATGGACAGTGTGGAAAATGGCTGGACCATGTATAGAAAATGGAACCTAAATGGATGAATGAATAGAAATTAAGGGAAATGCACGGAACTAAAGGGAAATGAAGGGGAAGGACTGCGGGACATGAAGGGAACTAAAAAGAAATGAAGGGACAAATTACGGGAAGAAAACGAAGGGAAGGGCAAATGGCAGGGTGGCATGCACATCCGGCCAGCAGAATGTGACCTGGCCCATGGCCTAGCCTGGAAACCTACCTTCAGGTATAAGAAAAAGGCTGTCCAAGGATTGCTGGATTTGTTCAAGTTATTTTTGGCCATCTCCCCGCGGATTCAAACATCGTTTCTTTTGCGGTGCTCATGGTGGACAACATCCCCAGCATCACCTGCATCCATGGCAAGCGTTGTTGCGGATGATGCAAGAGATGCTGGGGATGTTGTTTAACATGGATCGAAAATGGATGGACAACGGATGGATTGAATGCAAATTGACAATAAATGGAAAATGGATGGATAGTGTGTGGAGATGGAAACGCATGGAAATGAAGGGGAGGTGAGGAAAAATAACTCGGACTAAAAGGAAATGAATGGCATTAAGTGAAAGCATGCAGATGAAGGAGAGGAAGGGAACTAAAAAAGAAATGAAGGGACAAATTACAGGAAGAAAACAAATCGAAGGGCAGGGGCCGGCAGTCCAGTTTCCAACTATGCCAGTGCTCCACTTTCTCAAGATGCCACTGGGCTTTGCGAAGCTTTAGCATCACTTCTCGCACAGCCAGAGCATTCCACATGTTTTCTTTCAGCTTGCGCGTCAAAAACAGGCTGGGCCTGAGTCGGGCAACTCTTGTAGCCACTTTATGCGCCGGAGGCCCTCACGCTGAGCCGCATCTTTGTCATGGAGCAAGCTAGCCCGCAACGTAGGCAAATGTATGGAAAATGATGGAATGAAGCCTTAACGAAAACCAGTACCCCCCTCTGTTGTAGATTTTTGTTGAGCACTCAAAATTGGCAGGGCTCACCGCCAAAAGCTGCCAGCAAAAAGCAGCTGCGCCCGCGGCGCATCCTTGTTTGGAGCTACGCACGCGCTGCGACCAAGCATTGCCCTGTAGCCTGCTGAGCAAAGGACACTGCCGATTGAACTGAGTTGCGGCAGCTATCCGTGCTCTGAACCATGTTTATCGCGCTTACGCGCTGCGGCATGTGTCTTCTCCGGAAGAACGAGCATGCATGGATCGAAAACTGAAACCTTTCTCCACAGCATGGGGGTGCCTTGTGCTTCCACATGGCTGCGCGCGAAGTGGAAACATGAAACTTCTGCCTTTGCGCCAGTTGGACGTTGCCAGACCCTGGGCTGCTAGATCTTAGTGTGTTTCCTTCATGATCCGCGTGGCTCAGAGTTTGGCAGGATCTGGCAACGTCCAAAAGTCGTTGCCAGACCCCGTCCGGAGGAAAACGCTTTCGTATAATCCTCCATGACCCACCCCCCCCTTGGTTGTACAGAGAGGCTGTGGAACATTGACAAAACATGTGCGCAAACCGGGTGCGACATGGATGGACAATGTGTGGAAGATCATGAAACATTGACGGGATGGATGGAAAGCGCATGGAGCGCAAAATGGCTGGAACATGTGTGGAGCGAGTGGAGAGTGGATGGAAAATGGAAGGAGCGGGAAATGGATGGAACATGGATGGCAGAACGTGCCGCCAAGTTTGTTGAACAAAGATGCAAAATGGACGCAGCCTGGCTGCGGGGGCTTGGCTGAAAGGAAATGAAAGGACAAATTGGGTGCCTGGGTGGGTGAAAAACCTGGCATGACGGGCCGGGTTGCCGGTGGCCAGCTGTGTCCTGTCAGCGCGTAAATCCGGCCTCGCCGTGCTATGTCGACCAAAGGGGCGCATGCCTAGGCTTTGCCTTCCGACTGACAAGTTCTGCTGCCACACCTCGCATCGTCTGCTTGTCCAGCGCCTTCGGCGCATCATCACCGCCTGCGCGGCCATTCGAGCTCGAGTTGGGGAAGGCTCAAACAACTGCAAATATGCAGCAACCCGGCTGCATTCCCAGCATCGCCGACGCCCTCGGAAGCTCCTGTGTTTAACCCGTCGCCTGTTTTTCTGGATCGCACGCGTTTGGGGCCAGCCTTCCCTAAGCCACACCCACCCATCCATCCATCCTCCACATCCATTCATCCGTCCATCCACTATCTATCTATCTATCTATCCATCCAGCCACCCACCCACCCATCCATCCGCCGTCCATCGCTTCCATCCATCTATCCCGCGCAGCGGACTTGCGAAGCCGGCGCGCGGAGCAGTAAAATTACTCGCAATGCGCAGCAGTTATATTGCTGGACTTTGCACTAAGCGCTGGTCACTGCGCATGGCGGTCAGCATGTCCCCCTTCAGCACACCCAAGTGCACTGCCTCCTCCCCAACATACGCTACCGTCAAGGGTACCAAAGATTCATAGAACCCAAGCCCAAGCGGTCGATGGCTGCAAGTGACTTCATGTTTCCAACCAGAAGGCGTCTTAAATTCCAGGATCAGCGACTCGAGCTTGGCCGGCAAGAAACTCTCCGGATGTGTTGCTCTCCAGATTATGCATATCACCACCACAAGGACGGCAGCACAACCAGCTACAAGCAGCAGCCAGAGTATCCAAGTCATGTGCATGTAAGCCGAGCCTTATCTGATTGCATCAGGCTCGAAAATAATGTTACTCAAATATGCAAGCGCTGGGGTATTCAGTGCTGGCCAAGTTGCCTATTGTCGAAACAGCCAAGTGAACGCTGTGCGCCTTCTTTCCGGAGACCATCAGGAACGCAGCCACCGCCGCCAGCCCCAAGACCGTCACTGCCAGAACCCGCCATACTAACTGCTTGCTGATCTTGAACGTCGGCTGCTCATCATATCTGCTGGGCCTGGCTGCGCATCCCTGCAATCCAATGCTCAACAGATTCAACGGTGCCTGAGTGTTCCAGTAAGCAAAGCATTACGGGAAGACGCCATGGCTCGTGCCAACTCAGTGATGGGTTCTGCGCTTCTTTGGTGCTGTCCCACTTCGGACCATGTTTCTCATCACTTGTCATGGCCGTGAGGCAAAACAACTAGGCCATGTCCGATCGCAAAGCTGCACAAAGTGCATGGAGTGCATGTCGTGGATTCCGGCTGAAAGCTGCGGAATGCCCGGCGCTGGAACACCCTCTGACTGCATGCAACTTCAGCGCATGGCAGGCCGAGCTGCACGCTTCGAGGAATCTGGATAGCAGACATGGCCATAGCTCAGCGTTCCAAGCAGTTTGTTGGAAACAAGACCTGTCCGCACAATCCCCCAAACACGACTTTCAGATTTCCGTGAACAGAAGCTACACTGAGGACGCCAAGCTTGCTAAAAGGTTTTAGGTCGTCTGCTATAAGTGCTTTTGACTGATGCGGGCTGTGGACTGCTTTGGATCATGTATACAGGACAATCGCGAATCAACTTGCACGGAACAAACAATTCTTTGCGCACGAGACACGACCTTGCTTCTGCCACTGCTCCCATGTGTAGAACAGCGGTGTGGACAATCAAATGTATTGCTGGCTAGTTCGAGCGATACCTCTACATGCTGCTCGAATAGCATCATGGCATGCGGTCATCCTTGTTGCCAGCTGCAGGCTCAATTGAGTCCTAAGCTATATGATGAAAGCTCTGGGATCCTTGTGCTCGAATCTACTGAACTGGCAGAATGCTGCTCAGCAATACCGCGAGGCATACATTGACATGTTTATCTGCGGGCCACTGAAAAAGAAGTTCTGCCAGTCAGGGTGAAGAAATGCATGAAGCTGCCACTGTACACCAGGCTTCATGAACGTCAGCCATATCAGCCCTGAAACCATTCAGATGCAGGTATGACATTCTTCTTGTTCTGGCCCTTCTTCTTTTTCTGGCTTCCCTGAAGCAGCTGGTTGTGCTCTGGCAGAAACCGCCAAAGATGAGCCCTGCCTCTTTCTCTTGAGGCTCATCCTCTTCACCTTGCTGTTGCATGGATTGAGCTTGGCTCTCTAGTTTCAAGAGGTCGAAAGAATGGCCGCCCTCGTGCCGCAGAAAATCAATCTCCAACCAGTTTTGTGCAAGTCCTAGCAACACACTCAGTTTGCGGCCCTTTTTGAGAAGGACAAGGTCCTGCACGCGCAGGGCACCACTTGATCTCGAGGTCCGTATCCCAAGTCGCCAATGCCCCAAAGGGCAAAACGCCTTCGAGCTATACCCAGCGAAGTAATCTGTGTGCCAGCGCTGAAGAAGCACTGGCGAAAGTCTCAGAGACTGGGCTGTCACTGGGTCGGGCCATTGGCGGGAGCCTCAGGATTTGGCCTGCCACTGCTGTCTGGTTCAGTTCTGTCCCGCTGCCGGCCGTGGTCACAGCTGTCATGATCGAAAAGCGTTGACGCACCAAGGCTTTTGGGCGGACTTTTGCTTGGAATCTGTTGGGTGGAAAACATGTCGTTGTGCTCCAAGTGGTGGCTTGACAACAAAGGGACCTTATTGAAAAAAACCTTTTTGCCAAATGTTGGCAAACCGGATCCAACAAAAATCATTCTCTCCGCAGGCTCTCCTTGTCCAAATGGAGAGGCGCTTCTTCCCCGCGGACCTGCGCCGGTTTTCGGACCTTCGGATTTCGCCCGGGATCCGTTTCGCTCCCTCGGCCTCGGGTGCTGAGCTGCTCGGCTTGCTGAGCTTCGGCTTGGCTGCCTCCCATGGGCCCAACTCACGTCCCAGAACCTCACTTTGGGCATAGCATGGCAGGTGGGGGCGCTGGGTATTCCAACATGGAGCTGGTATTTGAAGAAACTGTTTGTCTGTAGCCCAGAAAATATATATCAAGATTTTAGAGAAGCTCAAGGCCAGCTTCCCCAAGCACGCACAGCAATGTTCAATTGCGCGAACAAGCCAGTCTTGATAGATGGGAATCATGCCCAAAAAGGGGCCATCGAGCCGTCTTGTTCCTCCTCTCTCATCCTTCTCCAACGAGATCAAAGTCAAACTGGCACTACTTCGTATGTCTGCTGAAGTTGAGGCCGGGACGACTTTGGGCGCCTTTTTCGCCTGCGGGGCCTGACACAAATGTAGGTCTCAAACTGCTCAGCCCGGCACAGTCAGGCCCCGATGGCAACTGTGATTGGAAAGCCGGCACACACTTGCCGATCCACACTCACGCACATTTGCTGCAATCCGGGTTGGTTTGAGCTCCTGTGTCTGGCCAACATAGGGATCTGCCGGCTTTGTTTCTCTAGACTTCAGAAATTTGTAATTTGTCGCCTGTTTGCTGTCAAGATGTTTCGTCGCCGCATTTTTTTCAGGGGGAAAGCACTTCCTCAACAAAGCTACGGGCTTCGTCACAGCCAGCATATCTATTTCATCTCCGACTGACCCCTGTTCCAAGACCCTCGACAGGCCATGAATACACAAACACTCACCTTCATATTATAATATGTTCAAAACATGTCTCCAGATTGAGAAGGATTTGGAGGCAGAATGACGTAGTCTTCGGAAGAATCCTACACAAAGAACAGCACCTTTGCCACCTTTTATTTTTGCCACACGCATGAATCAGTTTCCACACACGGTGCTTCTTTCGTAGATCATTTTAGAGACCTGTTGCCTGGACTCCTCTACTCATTCGCGCGCTCCGGCGCTCACTGGCCTTCGGCGGAGGCTGGCTGCTTGGAAGCTGGCCGGGAGCAAGCGGGAAGCAAAACCCAACACGATCGGAGGTTGGCCATTTGATCTTGGAGAAAGAATAACTCAAACCTGTATTTTCAACAGCCTCTGCCAGCAAATAGTTCTAGAGACCTCTGTTTAATCTCGCCCTCGTTGCAATCTCCAACCAAAGAACGACCTGCACTTCTGAAACGGCAGGCAAAGTGGATCAGCGCGCCCACCCCTGATTGGCAAGTGCAAATCCCACTTGTACCCTCAGTTCCGATCTGCCACCATACCGCAGGGTCAATGTGAAGAAAAACAAGCATGGATCTGTACGCCGCATGCCTCCATGATATGCTTCCATATTTAAGCCTTTGGATAATGAACCCTGATGTGCCTCAACAGGCTGGCCACTAAAAGCCCCGCGGCGTTGATCAATTTCTGAGTCCGCACGTCGCACGTGCTGAGATGGCAGCTGGACGCCCAAGCTGAAACGCCGCGCAATTTTTCACGCCGCGAGTCCAATCGACTCGGTGCTGGAAACTATGAGGCATCCGGCCCACACACGACAGTTCAACTAAGGCTCTCTCTCTCTCTCTCTCTCTGTCTGTCTCAGTGAGGGCATCCGCTAACAGACACGAGACCACAGAAACATCGATGTTCTATGCCAATGCAATCAATGCAATGTGAGGTTCCGCAAGCCCCTAGGCCCTGCTCGCTCAGCCGGGCTTCACAGAGCCTCAGGCCTCGGGGAAGAGCTGCCGAACCTGCATGACGAGATGTTTGCGTTGGAAAACGTCAATGTTTGTTTCAGGTGCAAGGGCGACTGGGACTGGGTTGACCAACTCTGCAAAACTCTGCCCTGCAAACTGCAATGCAAGGTACGTCCAGGCAGCCCAGAACCTCATGCTCGCCTCAGTGAAGCCGCCTTTTGAGGCTCTTGCCGCTGCCATCTGCAAAGCAGCACTGAACAAGCATAAAGCATGCATTGTCAGTGTCCGAGAAATTCAGAGCCCGCCTGAAACAAACTTTTGATGTTCTCTTTGACTTGCTCCTGGTCAAGGAAATCCACCACAATTCAGCCATCACAAGAGCTGCTCTTTCCAAGTCTGTCCTTTTCCACAAGCGCTAGCCCTTGAGATCATGCAACACCCGCCTTGGTCTCAGCTAAACCGCCCTCCTCAATCTCCAGGGCGGAGGTCTCGGCCAAACTTTCGGCAGCAGGGAGGAAAACATACTATGTCTGCAAAGCGTGCCAAGATCATCCAGTTTGCTAGCTATCTGAAGCCACTGGCTCATGTCCTCTAATTGCTCAGAAATCGTAGCCAGCTCTCTGTTTGGCTTTCACATGAAGGCTTGATCATGGGACTTCTGTCGAGGGATCCCCAAGCTTCAGCGTGTAGTGTGCAAGTGCTGCAAATCATGGCGAAGTAGAAGGCCCCTTACATGCTGCAGTGAACTTCAGCTTGCCCGTCCTGGTTTGTGGAGTTGGTAACTCCTTTATTCTTTCCCTGGCAAGATGTTATGCATGTGGCACACATTACATTATGCACGTGGCACAATGCATCGATCGCTCAAAGGAAATCCCTCATGCCTTAACCTTCTTCACGACCCACTTGACCATTCTGTAAGGAAGGAAGATGATAGTCTTGAGCGTCCTTGGCTCTCTGATTTCATGCTGCTCAGCATGAGCGTGTCTCAAGTTGGGTTCGATTATCCCAAACAAGAGTGGATCCATCCCAAACGTGAAATCCAAAAAGGGGTCAGTGCTTGCAAAGGCAAGGCATGCTTGCTGCTAAGTGCGGGTCAGGAGTACGAATTTCAGCAAGTAATACGGAACAGTGACGAAGAACCAAATAGCCTCCATAGCACTTGGCTTGTTTGTAAAGCAGTGCGCGTGTGGCTAGCAACACTGCAATTTGCGCCATCTTCTGGACTGTTTGACCGATCTTAAGGGGCTCCTTTGCAAACAAGCATAGGCTCAATCAGACCCGAGCCTTGGCCGAGCAGGTCAACCAATCGCCCACAGTCATCTGCGGCAGTTCGCACAGTTGGCATAGGCATAATTGGCAATGCACATCTCTTCATGCACTTGACATCATGCTTAGATGCCATTCTTGACTGGCCACACGCTGGACAAGGCACATAGGTCAAGAAAGTCAATTGCCCAAAATGTTCACAACCCTTGTCCATTATGATGTGTGACGGTCTGAAGGCGCTGGCGACGAGCCTTCCCCCTGAAAGAGGTCTTAGTAGGCCGGTGCTGGTTTGTCCAACCAAAGAGCCCCTGTGCCACACTCTGCAGTGACCAGCTGCTGCGCAACTCATCCAAACTCCCAAAACTTAAGACTCTCGCCGAGTTGGTGGCGTTGTAGGCTTTGGTCTCAGTCATTGCTGCCAAGCACTCGCGCATATGTCTGCATCAGCCTGTTCAAACTGCTGGCTGAGCTGCGCGCTGCCACGGCAACATTCCAAATGCCGGAAATCAGTCCACAGCCGAGAAGTGAGGCAACGACCTGGTGAGAGCAGCGGCTGCGACTGCAAGCAAGCAAGCAGGCAGGCAGGCAAGACAAGACAAGACAAGACAAGACAAGGCAAGGCAAGGCAAGCGAGCAACACCATGAAAGAATAAAACAACTCAATCAAAGGAAGTTCAGTTAGGAAACGTCCGCAACACGAAAAGTTGAATCACACAAGGAAAGTGAGAAAGTAAGTAAGAAGTACAAAGAAGGAGATAGAGAAGAGAGGAGTTGTGTGGCAGGCGCAGCATATTGCGGGCTGGCGAGATCGCGAAGGTTGCCTCTGTGTAGAGCGCGGTTCGCCGCGGTCTCGGAAAGGGCCCCAATGGCACGGCCGTTCAAAGGTTTCGCGAGGTTTGAGTTCCGTGGCAGGCGCAGCTGGCAGGCGCAGCACGTTCGCAAGGTCAGGTACAGATTTCGTGGCTGTCACGATCATGTTCTCGCAAAAAAAAAGAAAGGATTGCAAGTTCTCTGCAATGAAATTGTTCCCGTTGGTCCTCCTATAGGCACATTACCCCTTCACCAAATAATTTCGATAATTGACAACACAACACCAATGAAGTGCGGTAAACAAGCAACACAACAACAGAGAAACACATAAATTAATACACAGAGGAATAAACCAGCAACGACACACTAGGCAATGCATCATAGTAGGAACACACAAAGCAAACATGAAACCCACAAACAAAGAAACCAAGAAACACCTTCAGGACGCTCGGGCAAGAAACACAGAGACAATCAAGTAGAGAAACGAGTGAGCAAAGAGAGTGCAAATCGAGCCCACATCATACACATACGATACACACACACAACTCTGGGTGTAAAGTATGCCGCTGACGAACCAAGTCAAGTAGGCGATGATCTCCACAATGGCGAACATGCCCACAAAGATCTCGGCAAGCTGAGAGCATGTCGTGAGTTGGGCCAAGCCGAAACACTCATTTTCTGAGTTGAGTGGGATTCACAACGCCTACGCGTGGGAACGAGGCAATCACGAGTGCGGCTGTTGACTCAACGGAGCCGCAGATTTCAAAAGCAGGCCAACATGAGTTGGGCATCTGGTGGCTGCTTCGGGTGGGAGATCTGGCAAGCCTTGTTTTTCGCATTCAAGAGCAGTGGGTGCGGCAAGATCAAACATGAGTGAAGCAAAGCACGCACAGTCAGGCATCGGCCATGATTCCGGCCAGCAGAATGTAGCTGATAGTGGTCAGTGGACGGAATCCATGCGCTTCCTGCATGCAGCCGAGTGCGCTTTGGGGCTGCACCTTGAGGAAACTGGGAAGGACAAATGAGACACTGCCACAAAGCACGAGGATCATGAGGGCTGAAGTAATTTTGCTCCCAACCTCGTAGTTCACAACCTTGAGTGCCTGAGCTAGAATGCCAAGTCACTGCGACCCGTGGCAAATTGACAACATCAAGAGCTTCGGTTGATCTCCGGAATATTGCAAGTAGGGAACCGGCGAAACCCTATAATCTACGATGGCTTGTGGTTGGTTTACTTGCAATACTTTAGGATCCACCGATGATCCACCGTTCCACCCAGGGCATGGCTTTCTTTTTAGCATCCTCTCTACTCATTCCTTGCAGAAGGCACAAAACTCATTCCTTAGGCACATCTTTCACCGTGCCTTCTTTCCGCAGCTCTTTGAAGACTTCACTGTATCTTTTCTGAGATGCGTGGCATTTGCAAGCTGAAGCACTGCATCCCTGTGTTCATCCAGTTCGTGTGTGCCTGTCTCCAAGTCGGCGCCTGTCGCTTGCTCCAAAACAATCCATCGCGCATCACGCTTGCACTCAAGATGCATTTGATATTACGTCAAATGACACAGTACTTAAATTGCATCATGCTTCGAACGTGATCTACAGCTGTCCTCCAAGGATTCCACCATTTCCAGAAGGCTTGACAAGGGCGCGGTCTCCTGCCAGGCTTTGCTTTGCACTATCAAGTCGCCAAATCACCAAGTACGACCCCAAGCAAGTAAGTCCTTGTGGTCAAACTGCTCCATTTTCTCGAGGTCATGCTGCAATGATTCCTTTCGGAATGCACTCTCTGAGATGTACAGCTGCAAACATGCTATTCTGCCTGGATCTCGCTGTTTTGGCTGACAGTTCGTACTCTGTCCAACATTTCTTCCATGCTGTCCTGCATCGCCACAGAGGTGTCATGTTTGCGAGAGAATGGAAGTGTCTTGCGCTGTCCTCTGTTGAAGTTGTCGGCAGTGAAGACGTGTTGCCACTTACCTCCTGGCTCGAGTTGGAAGAAATGTTGACGAAGCATGCAAAGGTACAAAACGCAACCAAAGGCAAGCAACACTTAGTTTGCACACGCCAAATCTCCTGAGCTGCTTCTGCAGTTTCCTGGGCCTCACCTTTGCCAAACAAGCCTTGTGCTCGATCGTTCCCCCTCACTGAGAAGTGGGCGCTCCCCCGAAGTAATCGCATCCTCAAACTCCTGAGCATCTTGCCGGCTTGTGGCATGCTCCGGCGGAATTAAGACCGTGCC